TACACCACCACAGGCTGACGGCTATGGAAGTAGCAGTCGAACTTCTTCAGGGGTAATACCAAACTTAAAGCTTCACGTTCTATAGTAGAGTACTGCGCCTGATGTTTCTTCAGCTTTGCTGAGAAGTATGAAACTGGATGCATAACCCGAGTATCTTCATCCTCTTGTATTAGCACCGCTCCAACACCATGGCCACTAGCGTCAATCTGCAGACTGAAAGGACGAGAGTAATTGGGAGTTCTCAGCACCGGTTCCGAAGAAATGAAGAGCTTCAGTTTATCAAAAGCTTTAGCGCACTCGGGAGTCCACTGGAAAGCGCGCTTAGTGCTAGTCATATCCTTTAGAGGCGTAGCTATAGACGAGAAGTTACTGCAGAAGCGTCTGTAGAATCCCACCATGCCCAAAAACCTCATGAAAGATTTCCGAGTTGTTGGAGTGGGGTATGCCTGGATTGCTTCTACGTTGGCCTACGTTGGGTAACGTCCGTCCCTGACCCACGATATGTCCTAAGTAGGTCACGGTAGCACTGCAGAAAGTAGATTTGGCCAAGTTGATGGTGAATCCAGCTTCGTCTAAGCGGGAGAACAGAGAGCGTAGCCTTCGGATATGAACATCCCATGAGTCGGAGATTACAAGTAAATCATCTAAATAAGACTTAACACCTTCAAGACCCTGAATGGTATAATTGATTGCTCGTTGAAAGGTGGCTGGTGCATTACACATCCCAAAAGCATTACTGTATAATTATATAAAACAAAAGGAGTTATAAAAGCAGATATGGTTTTAGCATTATCTGTTAATCCTATTTGATAGTAACCTTTCTGCATATCAATTTTGGTTATGAATTTGGCTTGTACTATCGAGTCTACAAGTTCTTCAATTAAAGGAAGAGGGTAGAAGTCAGGTATAGTTACTTTGTTTAACTTTCGATAGTCTGTACATAATCTACTGGTATCGTCAGATTTTGGCACTAGCAGTGAGGGTGAAGCCCATGGAGAGTTACTTGGTTCAGCTAAACCATGATCAAGTAGATAATCTACTTCCTTCTTCATAACAGCTTTCTTCTCTGGACTGAGTCTATATGAACTTTGCCTTATGGGTCTTACCTCGGGAGCGAGTACAACATCGTGTAGAGCAGTGGTTCCCAAACTTTTTCTGGTCGTTACCCACTTTTCATACATGATCCTTGTCCATGGCCCCCACCCCCAACCATAACCCGTGACTACAGTGA